ATCTAGGTCAAAACTCATCCAGGCCAGACTCCATAATCTAGGTAAGCCCCATGGAGAGTATAGTGTACTTCAAAGCATAGTTAACTAGGAAAAATATTTCCTTTAAACAGATTTCAAACACTGCTAGTAATGTTTTGGTTTTGTCTTACTACGTTACATAATTTGTATGAGCATTTTAAATAGCAATTTATTCACAATATCTATTTCGTGTCTTTCTTTTGGCCCATATATTGTTTTCTTTATCCCTGCATAGTCGATTTGACTTTATTTACACCAACTGTACCTAAAAAGAGATTTACAAAGTAGGGGAAGGTGAAAATGTTTAATAAAATAATTTATCTTCACTCTAATTTAAATCTGAACGTTTAACTCAGCTGTTTTGAGAATGAATATTGTCTTTTGCATGACAGGGTTTATTAATTTTAGTGTTACCTATTACTTACGTTAGACAAGAAAAGCTATCAAAATAAAATAAAATTCATGTTATTTGGGGGAAAGAAGAAGCTCATGTCTCTGTGATAAATTTGTTTCTTCAAAAGATCTTCCATGTGACCTATTTTGTCAGCAAGTTCTTGTATCTAGGAAGATTGTTTCTGTTGGCTAGCCAATTTCAAAATGATAGAGTGAGATTAATAATATGAATATGATATTTCCATGTTCCGTTGATTTATGGGGCTCCAAATCTCCAAACACCTATCTTAGTCATTTTTCTTCCGAGAACAATGACAAAGTTTCTCACATGTATGAGTGTTTGCAAGAATGATCATCTTTAAGTGAAGCTGATTAGCAATGTGTTAAAAAGAAAGAATATCTTCTGTGAATGCATCATCAGAATACTTCAGATGAATCAGATATCTAGAGTCATGATCCACTAATAGGGAATAGTAGAAAGAGAGGTTTAAGAAATATTCTTTTCTGAAATGTAGTAACAGATCATGTCCCTCGCTCTATTCTATTACCATGTGCAGTAGCTTAAGCATTTTCACTTTAGACTTCATTTCACTCTCTGTGGGCATACAGAAATTGCCTGAGGCTGAGATTTCATGACTCCCTTGAGCTGATCCATGGTCTGGTGGCTCCTGGAAACAACAGCCTTGGTCTGCCTCAATGTTCCAAGATTCCTCCCTTGTGCCATACATTAGCAGCAGGATAATTGCCAGGTGACTTGAGGCAGGGGACTGGTCTTATTAATACTTCATTTTATTCTTTTACTTCTTTCCAAAGTAGGTTAGATACAGGCTGACAGCATTCTCCCATTGCAAATGGTAACGCTGCAGGGAGGGCTACTGCACAAGTGGTCTAATCAGCAGATAGAGGCATTGTTCTTCCCTCTGGTGAGAATACACCTGAATATACTGCATTTGATGTCTGGGGGTCCCTGCTTCAGAAAACACAGTGAGACATCAGAGTGACCTAGCAGAGGGCCATCAGGTCAGGGGGACTTGACCTACTAAGAAAATACTTGAAGAAGCTGGGCTGATTTATTCCAGTACAGTAGAGATCCACTAGCAACCTAGGCATGTCTGAAGAATTACAGAAATGATGGAGCCGGAGTCTTTTTGGCAGTCATATAAAAAGGAAGAGAGACCACAAACAGCAGGTTGAGAGATAGGGTAGGACTGTGGAAGGCTGAAGCAGCACTGAAGTAGGTTGCCGGCTCCATCCCTGGTGATTTCCAGGAGGTGGCTCTCAAAGCCCCATCTGAGCTGAACATGAGTGGGAGCAGCCTTATTTCAGCAGAAGGCTGAGCTAGGACATCTCAAGAGCTCACTTGTCAGTGAATGCTTCTGCCTTGCCATGAATATTACTGAAGACAGAGCCTATGTCTAAGACCTTGCACAGTGCACACAAAAAGAGTGTGCACTTACAAAAAGTGATTTACCTTATCCTAATATAGAATTCCACTAATTAATAGATCTTTAAATATTAATTTATATTTGAAACATGAATGAGGGCATAACGGGTGATTTACTCAATCTTAGGTCACGTGCATTTCAGCCTCAGTATTGTCACTTCACCTGATGGAGTAGTAACTTTTTAACTGTTGTCATGTCCTTGGTTGCTGCCATCCCAGAGCTCAAATTTAAATTGGATTGAAAGGAAAAAATCCTAATTAATTCAGGTATTTAGTACTTAGCTATCTTCCTGAGAGAGTTGTTCTACCAAGATGCAACAATTTCCTTCTAGAAGGAAATAAATAAAGAAATAAATGAAATTAGCTTCAATATCCAGCTTTTTTACAAGATTTTAAGATGTCTGTATTTATAAAAAGCGTAAATGTAGAAATATCTGAGTGTGATATTCAGATAGGCTTGGAAATGTATTACATGCAATCTTTCAACAATTACCACAGGATGTGTGGATCTAAATAGACTTAATTATTTCCCACATCATAATGAAAGGGAAGAGGCACCTAGCCTGCCCATAAACTCAGGACCTTAAGCAAATACCTGGAAGAAAGCCAAAATGAGTGGTTGTCCATCAGCAGTTGTGCAGAGAGCTGGCAATCTTCTGGGCGACTTCCTGGCACCAGTCTTATCTGTAAGCTTTATTTTGAGTTAGGCTATTGTGCTGCAGATTTATAACAGTGCTGTGGTATATTAAGGTCCTTGAAAGCCTGTAGAGGAGGGCACCAAAGCTAATAGAAGGGCTGGGGCAAGCTGAGGACATGGGGGCTGTCTAAGAGAAGAGCAGGACAAGAGGTGACCTCATTGCTCTTTGCAGCTCCTGAGGGAGAGAAGCAGAGGGACATGGCAGGGGTCTCTGATGGCAGGATGGGAATGGCACAGGGAAGGGTCAGACTGGGCACTGGGAAACTCTTCTGTATTGTCAGACATTGGAACAGACTTCCTAGAGAGGTATTTGATGCTCTATGCCTGTCAGTATGCGAGAAGCATATGCATAATGTTGTTAATGCACTTCAACTTTTGCTTAACCCTGAACAGCTCAGACAGTTGGAATAGATGATATATGATAGTTGAAACAGATGACCTTTACAACTGAACTGTTCTGTTTGGTATTGGCACTGAGGTACGCTGATGGGGAGAAGAGGGAAGCTACTAATTTGTGCTATTGAGTGGGGACCTTTGGAAAATGGTGTTGAGGGCTGCAAGAAATGTCAGGCAATCTCTTTGGGCTGTAGCAAACCAGTGAAGCGGTCGTTAGCAGGACATAGAGCATCAGCAAAAAGCCACGAGTTCAGAAACTGAGTTTCAGCTTGTTCTTCCTTATCAATCAGGACAATAAAGTGCAGACAAGCAGGCAGCTCCTCTCAGTCCAACCTCAGAAAGTCTTTGAATTAAAAGTGAAAAAAACCTTTATGCTGTTTCCTCTGCATCACTCCAGATTGCGACTAGTGCAGTTTTCATCCAGCAGTGGAAGAAAGAGCCTTTTGCTATTTGCCACTAAACTTTTTATGCTTTTTGCCGGTGGGTTTTCCCAGGACAGCCACTGGGGTGCTGTTTGCAGTTTGTCACTGCTGCTGGGTCTGTCAGAAGACCAGTCAACAGCATGTTTCACAGTGCCAGCCTGCATCAAAATTAATTCCTCTTTTCTTTCATGCAACTTTATCATGTTTTAAAAACTGTACTCTGCCTAACAACAGTAGTTGAGTTGCCTGAATAAACATTACTTTTCTCATTCCTTCCCATCGTGTACACTACAACCTCTGACCGTATTAAAAAGCAACCACTATGATTTTTTAAAACATGTGAAAGATGTAAGGTCAAGTACCTTTCCAACAGCAGGCTATTTTGTTATAGACTTACCTGTACAGAGAAAGGACCTCTAAATAACTGGCAATGTCACAGTGGCACTGTAAAGGTCAAATCATCTCAGTGTTTGCATTTCATATTCTATGTTTCTGTTGTTTGTTTTTCTTAAAACCACAGCTAAAGTATGGTCTTCCATTTGGCGTTCAAGGACAGAAAAAAATATCAAGAGGGTTAAAGGATTTGCGTATAACCAGGAACAGTGAACTGTTGGGGTTTTTTATATCTTAATTTATAATAAAATATACACATACTTGCGTGTCTGCCTGTGTATATGTATATTTGCTTCAGAATGCTTTATGCTGTTGGAGTTACCACTTTTCACCTGAGTTGTTAAGATGGAGATTCCAGTAGTTGTGACTGTAAAATATACTGCGCTGCTTTGAAGTAAGACTTTTTCCAGCTTTATCAGAATTATCTACCAGCTCGACTGCAGTCCCCGTGATTTCATTTGATTCTGTTGCTGGTGTTCAAAATAACAGCTTTGTACCGCAGCTCGATGCTAATGCCTGACAAAACTCAATCTCAAACAAAGAAGGCTTAAAGTGTTTCGTTTGTATGTGCACATATTTCTACACTATGCGATGTAATTTTTAAGACGGCCAGCTCCCAAATAGTGATGTGTAAAGAAAATAATAATTGCACTAATAATAATAATAATTTAGAGACTGTGTGTTTATTATAATAAAGCTGTACTTCCCTCTTTTCTATAATCGAATATTTTGTAGGATATCAGAACACTTTTACTTTTTATTTGACTTATTCATTCGCCTGGAAGGACTTGGAAGTCTTTTATGAGAAAGGAATGTAATACCTTTGTCGCTTTTACTGTCTATTGCCTCCAGTGATAAAATATTAAGAGGCTTAAGCTCTTTATTTGAGTGGCTGCTGTCACTGATCTACAGCTACAAATACAAAAAAGTTACGCTGAACCCAAAAGTCCTGCTACCTGCACTTGATTGGAATATGTGGAGGTGATAGTGACATAAGCAAAACTAGAAACTTTTATGACTGTTTAGAAAATGTTTTTTTTTTTTTTTGCAAAAACTCTCTTTTAAAAGTTATGTTGCAACTGTTAAAGAAATAGATGCTGAAAATGGAATTGCATTGTCCATGCTAAATCTGAGTTCCACAAGATTTATTTTATTTGGATGTAGTTACGACTTCATAACTGTACACCACACAGACCTTAAAAGCAAGAAATCGTAATTTTTCTCTTTTTCTTTTCAGAGTCACAGTGTACACTCTGTGGGGAGCCTGAAGGTGAGCATATTTTCCTCTTCATATTTTTCAAAGCAACTAGTTGTGAATGCTTGACTCAAATGACACAAGTGCGAGAGATTGGAAATGGTATCTGAATGATGACGATGAATGAATGACTTTCTTCCCTATGTTAGATGGCAAAAATGGATCGAATTAAGCTGAGTAAAGCACGATATGTGCTCCAGGCAGGAAATATCTTATAGGACAAATATTCCATTAGAACAAAAAAGGAAATATTTCCTTCTTATTCATTTTTGTGTTTGTCAAACTGATTTGGGGTGAGAGACAGTGCAAAGAGTCATCTAAGGACATCGCTTTGCAGATGGAAAACAAAAGTATTAAAATTAAAAGGGAAATGAGAAAATGTTTTTATATTTGATATGATTTACAGAGAGCAGAGAGGCTAACATGTTAGCAGGTGAAGCGAATAAATATTGTTTTTGAAATAAGGATAATTAAGCAATAACTGTTACGCAGTGCAAATATATGCCCAAGTGAGGATGTTTGGTGGTTGTTATTTTTTCCCCAAGTGATTAATTAAATGCCATGGCAAGACCCACAGTTTATCTAAATAAACACTGCAGTAATAAGACTGTGATTTTTGAGGCGGGTCATTGCTTTAGAAAATCTTTCTCTCCCTTTCTCTTTCTTCTCTCTTTCTCCTTTACACACATACTGGTGCCGTTTTAAGAAAATGTCAAAAAACTTAACCTTACTTTCAGATAAACCATCTGGAGTCTTTCTAAGAAAAGCAGCCCAAAATAGCAAATGTAACTGCTGAAGCAAAGCATGTTCTTAAAAAAAAAAAAAAAAAAAAAAAAAGATTATGTGTTTTCTCAAAGAGATTTGGCTTTATATATTGAAAAATTTCTGAAAAACAATTCAAACTTTTAATTTTCATATATCTAGGAGGGAGGAGTTAACGAGGTGAGGTCTGAAAGTGAAAGCCTTTGAGACCTTGCAGCTAGTGATATAACTTAGTAAATTTACCATCCATTATCTGTTGCGAAAATAAAATATTTTAGATTTTCTTTGGACTTTGCATTACTTTTATAAACAGCCATTTCTTGTTTAGTTTGCTTTCATTGTTTTGTATTTGATAAATTCATAATACCACAGATAAATATATGGGGAGGAAAAATAAGGCAGATGTTTATTTGCCTTTTGTGAGATATACCTTTCATAATAGGGTTGTCTAACTCAGAAGTTATACACTAGATTAGTTCTCTTTTATTGCATACTATGCCTGCTGTATCATTCTCCTTTCTTTTTGTTGCTGTTCTTTCATACTACTTCCGCATTTCAAACTTTATGTATAAGGATGGTTTAAAAAGGGAATTAAAATAAAATGAAATAAAGCTGTAGTAAAAATATTTAATGTGTATGCAGCTAAAACCATATAATCAAAATATAATGATACGCATTGCTGTAGGAATGGTCCTCAGGAACATAATGCTGTTTTCAGTTGTGTGTAGAAATGAACTTTCCCAAGAATGATGTCTCTTGGTTCACCGAATTCCCCACTCAAATTCAGCATTACTGTAATGCTACTTATTAATTCTATTAATTCTCCCCTCTTCGTGGGGAGCCCTTTGCAAAGATTTGGCAGTTACTTCTGTAGTTCAGGAAGCAAGTTTGTTTATCTGCACACATTGCCGCGGGACAATTTAGATGCAGATGTTTTACAGAATAAAAAAGATCTGCTGTGGGAAGGAGATGTTTATTATTGATAATTTACATTTCACATCGTGGTCATTCAGAGGTATTGCCTGTGGAACTTGTAGATCTGTAAATACACACGTGTGCTGTGTCTGCCTATGCAACCGATCTAAGGAGGAAGAGTTGGTCAACACTGAGGTCTCTGTTTAAGTGGTTGTCTTTTGTAAGAACTGCAAAGGCTTACATATTCTGCTTCAGAAAACATAGGTTTGATCTATGCTTTTTAACAAAGTTGTCAGACACCACACCTGTCAGTGTGAGTTGTTTGAAAACCAAGGAGCCTGTCTTGTGCTGGGAGGGAATGAAATTTGAAGAAGACAGAGGTACTGTTCTTGATAAATCCTGTGAGTGCATCTACTTTGGGTTGCTCCATCTTCCTGAAGCTCATAGCAAGGATGTCTTTTCAGGCAGATGACAACTGTTTCCTTTGTGGAAGTAATCTGCATCAGATAGGTTGCACTGCCGTGGTAAATACTGCATTTTCCTCCTGCTCAACTTTGAAGTGAGAATGGCATGTGTAGACACGTGTGACTTGAGTCTTTGTGACAGCCAGCATACCCTGACAAAGGAGTGGTGTAGTCCTGAGATGTTTCAACACAGTTGCTTCCATGAAGCAGATATTGTTTCTCTTCTAACTTACAGCAGCTATTCACAGAAGTTCATAAAAGTATTGTATTAATAAGCATGATTTGCTATATTACCAAAACAGCAAGGAAGTTAATTTTGTGGCTGTTAAGATTTCAGTAGATTACTCTTATCTTCTCAAAGACTATGAAAGTGACAGCTGCTCTTCCAGACCTATTTTATATCCTATGAAACTCCGCTAGTGACTTACGGGTTCTATTCATGACTTGGATTGTTTGTTTGTTGTTGTTGTTGTTGTTTTGTTTTTTATTTTTTCCCTCAGTATTTTCTGACTATTCTGTTTCTTTCCTTCTGAAAGATAAATAGGGAGTCCCTTACAATACCAACACTTTTCAGCTTCTTAATAAAAAGTCATGTCTGTGGATTCTTTGTAAAACAAGCTTTATCTGAATACTTAGGTCTGGAAAATGTGCTAAAGAGGCCTACCACTGCACAAAGCTGGTTCTTAGTTAACTGTGAGAATTAATACAAGTTCTGGTTCTGTCCAACATTTGTCTCAGAAAAAAATACTGATGATTCAACTTGTCTTAGGAAATCCTTTAGCAGCTAGAAGCTATAGTTTACTGGATTCAGGTAAAATATCGTAGTGTGCTCTGCTTCTACTTAGACACTGCTGTCCTATAGGTTAGATATTAGGAGGAAGTTTTTCACACAGAGGGTGTTGAAGCACTGGAACAGGTTGCCCAGGGAGGCTGTGGATGCCCCATCTCTGGAGGCGTTCAAGGCCAGGCTGGATGTGGCTCTGGGCAGCCTGGTCTGGTGGTTGGCGACCCTGCACATAGCAGGGGGTTGGAACTAGATGATCATTGTGGTCCTTTTCAACCCAGGCCACTATGATTCTATGATTCTAAGACAGAGAGAAAATGGAAACATGGTTTTCTCCAAGTAGCTACTGCTGGCAGTCATGGGGGACAGAACATTGAGACCACTGGCATTTGATCTGACCCTCTGTTGATGTTCTTACGGGCTTGTGTTCTCAGTTTGAGGTTAAATAATAATGGCTCTGTGTGGATTTTTTTTTCTTTATATCCCTTGAAGAAAGAAAGCCTGTGTTAACTTTGCTGTAAGTATTAAGTCTTCTCTACTGTGCGTGTGATGCTGATAACAGTTTCCATTTTATTTAGAAATATTCTATGATGTAAATGAACATTCCATGTAGAAGTCCTGATGCATTATGAGAGTAATAGAATTAGGCAAAGACTGGGGAGTAGACAGTTGGCAGTTCAGCCTATTGTTCACCCTGTTATCTGGTACCTCTTGATCTTGCAGTGTATGTGCAGACTGTAATATGCACTTCTCATTCTACTGCAGATATGATGTGGCAAATGTCCTTTCAATTCCACAGCATTTAGCATTTAGTCTGGCTCTCCAGAAAGATACTGCTGTTCAGAAAGGCTATGAGAAGCAGTACATCTGTACTTTACTGTGATCTGTGCTAATATCAGCATAGAAAGAAGATTCGACTTTCGTTATGAGCGGTTCAGTCAAGACCTCTAATTAAGATGACAGTTAAATAAAAACAAAATATGAATATTTACAAGGAATGAGATGGAGGGTACAATGCAGTACATTAAAACACCACCAGTCCATATTAGAAGTACCCCAGTATGCATAAAGATTCATACAAGTTGAATCTTTACTGCCCCTACCACTGGGAAGAAAATAGAGAGTAGGTGTCTGTACATAGCAAACTTGATGAAAATATGTGAGGAGTGGTTCTGTGTGAATGGACGTCAAGATGGTTTGCTGTGTGTTGTTCAGAGAAGATATCAAAGAAAACAAAATACACCTGCTGCACATTCTTGATAAGTGATGCTTCCCATTTTTCCATGAGATCGGGAAAACTGTAATTTCTAGTTCTTTAATATGTCCTGTGCAAGTAAATATTCAAAAGCAGAACAAGTGTAGCTCAGAAGGGCAAATGCAGTTGTGGAATGTACTTCCATGATGCAACTTCTGCGATTGACTAATACTAGTGCTGTATGTTTCAGTGAACAGTAAGAATATTCCTATAGATCTGGAACAGGGGCAAGTCTAATTATTTTCAGTAATTGTTTCTATACAAACAAAATAACTACCGCTCTTTTAATAGATAAAGGAGATGATGCCCCTATATATAAGCTACTGCTTCATAAATTCATTCTTGGTTTTGATTAATTTGTAACCCAATACCCCAATAGGCCTGGTCTGTTTCGGGAATCCTCATATCCCTTCTATTTAGGCCTAGTTTACATTTTCAAACTAAGATGCCGGCATTATTTTGTCTATCTCTGAGAAGAAATGTGCTTGTGCAAAATTTGTACCAAAGGTACAAGAATGCCAGAGAGTATGTGACTCATTTACCCATACACAATTTTACGTCAATTAAAAATGGAAGGCTTTTAAATGTAATTAAATGTTAAGGATGCAATTAAGTAATTTTTTTTGAAGTAAAAGAATTGTTGAATGTTTCATAATCAAAACAAATGGCACTTTTGAATTGTGTGAATTCACTCAGAAAATGCATGAAATATTCAGTAGAATTTTGGAGATACAAGTACTTTAACTTTTGAGTGTAAATAATTGACAGGAACAACAAAAACCTTTTTCTAGAGGAAAATATGACTTTTTAGGATATGTGCATGTAAATGTCAGTA